AGATCTTTTCCCTCAACTGTCACCTCCATTTATTAAACCACATGCATACTTCAAGACTCACTGAATTCCATCTTCTTTATGCAGTTCTGTCCATTTCACCTGGTCCAATTATTTCCCCCCCGCCTCAGTCTACATTTGGAATTTTACCCTCTGTATCTTTTTTATGTTTTGAATACTTCTATTATACGTAATCCTGATATAGATTTGTCACTTGGAGTTTGCATAATAGTTTTTTTATGCACATGCTTCCCTTCTGCTCTGGACTGTGAGGTCACTGAAAGCAGATACTCTGAAGCAACAGAAAAATACAAGTTTGGGGTCAGTTTGACTTGGGGCTCTGCCGCTTCTCCCTGAGGGATTCAGACAAGTCCCTTCCCCCTCTGATCCAGCTTCCTTATCAATAAAGTGTGTACAGGAACACCTACAGTGAAGGATGTGTTGAGGATCAAGTGAGAAGACTCGTGTAAGGAGTCTAGCACGTACCTGGGACACACTGGGCTCCCTCCTGCTGGAAGCTCTTGTCACTCACTTGGCTTCCCCTACAGCACCACCCCACTGCCCCTGACACACTAAGTGGCCAACAAGTGCTGTCTAACTGAGCAGAGGTGTCACTGGACTTGCATCCGTGCCCCATTGGCAGCATAGTGATAGTGGGGCGGCGATGCCTATGGGATGTAAGACAACTGAGTTCAGAAGTATGAAGGCAGAGCTTTCTCCTGACTCTGAGTTCCTGGAGCTGCCTATCTGACACCAAACAGCCATAGCTGCGCCAGGGGACCTGGCCCCACTAGCCAACCAATGGAGCCAAACTTCTTTCCTAATAATCGCATGACAGGGAGCAGGTGGCTACACTGTGGCAGAGAAATAAGACCCACTACAACAGGACTATTTTGAGACTTTCTGATAGACAGATCCCTGGGGAAGGTGTGGTAGCTCCTCTGGCCCAAGACAAACGGTGGTGGTTTTGTCTGGCAATGTGGGCAATGTGGGCAAAGACCCGATGAAGCCTGTGGCACCATGTCATGTCCCAGTATAAAAACCAGCCTCAGGAACTGCCACAGGGCCAGACTGTGTCATGCCAAGCAGTCTAGTGATTTGAGTCCCTTTAGATCAATAGTCTTAAATTGAAATACAGATTCGGGGGGCTGGCCAGGTCGTGCAGCGGTTAAGTTAAGCAAGTTCTGCTTCCGCAGCCTGGGGTTCGCCGGTTCAGATCCCAGGTGTGGATATGGCACCGCTTGGCAAGCCATGCTGTGGTAGGCGTCCCACAGAGAAAGTAGAGGAAGATGGGCATGGATGTTAGCTCAGGGCCAGTCTTCCTCAGCAAAAAGAGGAGGATCGGCAGCACTTAGCTCAGGGTTAATCTTCCTCAAAAAAAAAAAAAGAAAGAAAGAAATACAGATTCGGATCTGTGTGCATCATCTGTGACCTTCTCATCGTGCTTTGCTTAGTCTAATGAGAACATAACTTCAAGTCCTACACACGCTGAGCTGGGGTAGGGGAAATAGCCAGTTGTGTTTGGGATGGTGGTCTAGAATTTCAAAAATCCCAAACAGAAAACCTGAAAAGTGGAGGATTGATATAAAAATAGTTGAAGTAATCAGCTTATGTTCTGAATGAAGGTTCTGTAAAATTCTCGGGGAAAAGTGGAAGTAATCTAAGCCACATTTAAGCTGGATATAAATCTCATAATGAACATAAACTTTCTAGAGGTTTTCAAGTGATCCCTTGACATTTGGGCCGCTGTGTGGCTCCGATTGTTTACATGAGCGCGACAATGATAAAGGCAGGACATCCATTACCTTACATCCCCTTGACACAGAGCGTGAGACCAGGGAGCATGCCAGCAGCCAGCAGATGCACGGAACTGCGTGGCCGGCAGCCAGAGCTGTGCCAGGCCCCTCTCTTGGCTGGAGGACCGCTGGACCTTCAGTGCTCCAAGAGGAGACTGACACAGTGCCAGCCTTCAGGAGCTGTGACAAAGACGTGCAGGTGGGAGGGAAGCCATGTGCAAAGGTGAAGGGGTTTTATAAACCCTAATGGACCCTGAGGACTTCGAGCCTGGTTCTAGGCTCAAGTGCATGTTACCCACCCTATGTCTATGTTAGAGGCTCATAAAACGCCTTGAACGAGGTTCAGTCTAAGACAAATCTGATGGAGGAGCAAAACAGGTTGACACTCAGAAAGCAAAATAAAACGACTGTGTGGAAATTTTCCTTGAATGTGGCCCCAAGTCTATTTGAGCCTCTTTCTTTTCCAGGTGCAGCCCGTCCGACAGCCCCTGCCATGCTTGTGTGCCCTCCATGGGGCAGAGCGGGTGCCTGGGGGCCACGATGGAAGGAAGCCTTTAGCAAAGTCAGATAGGGACCCAACAGTGAAATGCGCCCTCTCTAGCCATTCAGGCTGAATCTCAAGTCAATGCCATGGCTTTTCACTAACCCCAGTATTCACACCCTTGGATCCAGTTTGGGTTTCCACTCAGTCTTCATCATTTTCTCTCACACTGGAACATGTGTCCACCTGGGCCAGAGCAGGTCACTAGAGCATGCTTGTGCACACAGTGCTGACACCAACACATGCCCTCCTGCCCCGGAAACTCCACGAGTGCGATGGCATGGGTTTATTTTTTGGTGTAATTTTGCCTATGTCTTTCAGTAATACACAGTGATTATCACCAAAGAGAATCACTGGGCTCCGGTTTGGGAGAAAGTTGTGGTTTTTTTGTTGTTGTGAGGAAGATTGTGGCTGAGCTAACATCTGTGCCAATCTTCCTCTATTTTATGTGGGATGCTGCCACAGCATGGCTTGATGAGTGGTGCTAGGATCTGAACTTGCAAACAATGGGCCACTGAAGCAGAGCACGTGAACTTAACCACTACACCATCGGGCCGGCCCCTGGGAGAAGTTTCTGATTGAGAAACGAAGATGTTCATCCTGTTGGTCCTGAACCAACCTGCACCAGCAGTGGCCAGCTTGTCTCTCCTTTCTACCCAAAGCACTCGGGAAACATCTTTGCAGAAACCTTGTTGATCTTTCTTCTGATAAGTGGTTTTTGTATTAAAAGTCTTCCCTTTCACTTCCATTGGACAAACATGCTCTGGGGATGGAGGTGGAAACAGAGGTAGCGGAGGGAAGACGTAAGAGGAAAATGAACACTAGAACGATCCTGCAGAGGTAGCCACCTTCTCAGCGTGAGGGATACAGAACGTTAGAACGCCAGGATTTTCATCTGTTCAATCACTATTCTACCTCCAGCATCTAGAATAGTGCCTGTTACAGAGAACGCCCTCAGCAAACATCTGTTGAATGAATGAGTGATCACTCACTTATTACGGCTTCAGACAAACCAGCCCAGCATGGAGCAGATCATGCTGCCTGAGGGGCTCATGCAGTGGTTTGTAAGCCCGGTGAACCCCCAGCCTTCCCCATCAGCATTAGAAAAACGCAGATTTGCCATCACACTCCTACCAGCTATACCGGAATCTAGTTGGGTGCCCGGAACCTGCATTTTTATAAAGCCCCACACAGGATTCTTAGACCAGGAGAGAATAGACTGGCTTTTAGGAACCACCAGTGTGAGTTTTAACATTTGCCAATGGCTTCCATCTATTTCCTTCTCCCCACTCTAAAGGACATGGCTGCACGTGCACCCATACCAAAGAATTCGAGACCAAGAGACCCAGGAATGGCTGTGCAGACACGGTTCTGTGCTGTAATAAGTCTGTTAGTGTGTGGGGTCTGGTGGAACAAACCTGGGCTTGCTAGTGACCAAGCGCACAGAGGCGCGCTCTGACTTAACCGGTCTTATAAAATTAAACTGAAGGTTGAGGGGCGGGCAATCTGTGTGGAAAGGAGTGAAGGATTCCACCAACCAAAGCCTTCACTCGGAGCGGACAGAAAGGCCCAGGATCTGTTGGCTGAGCCGTTACCCAAATGAAGGAGGCTCTGCCTTCCACACGGGAGACTGGGCCACCCGCTGAAATGACACCAGGGCCTGGTGTGCCTGCCACAGAGGTGACAGCAGCCAGGAACATACAGGCTTACCCTTCCAAAACAGGAACAGAGTGAAGCTATGAACTAATCACAGAAACCATTCAGAAAGAACAAGCAAATCAGAGAGACACTAGCAGGCAGGCGTGGTTATTTGGCCTAGAGAAGACACAGGGGCATGTGGCTGTGTGTTGACAGTTCTGATTAGAATCAGGACAGGAGAATCAGGAAAACCTGAGGCTCAGAAAGTGCCCTGCGGATCTTGAGTTCTCTGTATCTCATGGCTGAGCAATTCTAAGAGCTGCCACAGCACCCTGGAAATGAAAAGTACCAGATCTTGGTACCATTTTTACCCCAAATCAAAAGTGAAAGCCTGATTTTTAATCGTTATTCCCTTTCAGGAAAATTTTTATTTCCTTTTATTTATTAGTTCTCATTATCATAACAGAACAAAGGAGCGGTCTTCAGGCCAACAGAGAAATGAATTTATTTTGCTTCCCCCTCTCTGCCGTCCTTCTCCACTCGCTCTCGATGCCTTTGGTCCTGACCGTGGTCCCTTACCTCTAAGGCCTTGCTTAAATTTCCATTTTGAAAATGACCTCCCCAAGGAGGCTCCTCTCATTTCTTCTCTCAGATGGGAATCAGGGAAATCCTTAGAGGGTCACTGGAGTGTAGACAGCAGGAAATGGCCCCACCGGGCTGGGCATTTATCATCTCCCTCTCCATCCTGCTTTCTGCCGGGAGGGCCTTTCTTGTAAATCCAGGTCATGAATAATGGATGCAGATGCTGAGCCTGCACTTGGGTCTTATTAGCATGCACCTTGTCAGAAATTGCTTTTCCCGGCGCTGGAGCTGGAAAGCCACTTTACCTGTCCTGCTTTCCCAGGTGTGTTGGCCCCTTTGATGTTCATTTTGCATCCCCCCACTGAACCCCCCCCCCCCAACCGCCGCCTTTTACGTTTTTGTTTGGTTGTTTCATTTGTTTCTAATTCCTTTTTCTTTCTTTGCAGACTCTCCGCACTGGGGTTTTGGAGACCCCAGTCGTCTTCCTGTTCACAGTGGTCTTTAGTTAGTCACCTGGCTTCTAATCAATAGATCCTATACTGCCATCAAAGGTACGCCTTATTCAGATCTTGAAAGAAATGCCCTAATCTGAGTATACAGTACAATGCTGCAATTTAATCTCACTAAGATGTTTGACAGGCTGGCATCAGTAACTTCCAATATTTAGAAGAACCGGCTATAATTGTAGTCAGCTGTGTCACCAGGTGCAAATAAACCAGACTTCCCAAGCCTCAGTTTTCTTATTTCCTTCTTTCTTTTTTTTTTCTTTCTGCTTTTTCTCCCCAAATCCCCCCAGTACATAGTTGTATATTCTAGTTGTGGGTCCTTCTAGTTGCGGCACATGGGACGCTGCCTCAGCATGGCCTGATGAGCGGTGCCATGTCCGTGCCCAGGATCCGAACCGGCGAAATCCTGGGCCGCCACAGCTGAGCATGTGAACTTAACCACTGGGCCACAGGGCTGGCCCCTCTTTATTTCTTTAAATGACAGGGGCTGGATAAAATAATTGCTAAACTCCCTTACTATTTAAAACTGCTAAAAGTGTAAGTTTCATTCTTGCTGTAAAAACATCAGCATCTTTTCCAGATAACCTTTCCTCTGCTGTTAGATGCATTATTTCATTTCCATCTTTAGATAGCTCAGTAACTCAGCCAGGGGCTACGCTGCTTTGTGAGATCCCGATCCTGCTATGGTCTTTGTTATAACCAACTCTATCTTTCTTCCCACACGTACATAGCACACGGTGTTTGTGTTGACTCTGATCTGGACGGGGAAGAATAAACACACACAGAAGCCATTGAAAGGTACCTTGTGGGCTGTGCAGGCTTTGAGAAGCTGCCGAGATAGCTTCAAAAGTCAAGGAGAGGCGCACAGGTTTTGTTCATGTAGGCATTTGTTTATTCAACTTTCTCAAATCAAAGGGGGAAATATTTGCAGTGTTCTCAGCTCTTTCAAATTGCATTCGTCAACAGTCCTAACAAGTATTGTAAACGAGATTAACCAAATTAACTACTCAAGCAATTAGTCTAACAGACGATTCCTGTATTAATTTCACAAACACAGACATTTGAAGTTCCACCAGTGCTTTCCCAGCTTTCCTTGGATTCAGCCCTCATGATAATCGTGTGGGGGAACTTTGGCAGGTTCCATCACTCCCACTTTACAGAAGAAGAAACTGGAGCTCAGAGAGGTTACGGGCCCTGCTCAGCATACCTCTGTATGTGGGAAGGAAAACCTCATTCTCCTGGTTAACACTGAGCTGCAGCTGAACAAATCAGCCCTTTTTTTCCTAACAGGCACAGAAGTAAATCCAGGCCCAGCAGTCCTCGCAAAATAGAAACGTAAAGGTCACTTCTTGGATGATGTGGCAGGAAAACCACCTCCTCTTCTCTTCTCTCCACAGCTGCAGAGAGGATTGTCAGCACTTGCCTCCTGTCCTTCAGCTTTGAGGAGAAGACATGTTAGAAACAGCAAGTCCCATGGATTCCTAACCTCTACTGCTCCTGGCCATGAATGGCCTGTCCCAGGGCAGGAGCCAGGCCCCAGGGTCGTACAATGACCCGGAGCATGGATGCCTCTCTACATGTTGCTTCCTAGGCATCTTACTCTTCTTACTGGCTCTGACCTTTTCCCTCCCTCCTCTTAGCTTCTTCCACTCAGAGAACAGAGTTCATACAAGAGAGTACAAGTTTCCTATCATCCTAAAATTTCTTTGGTGAGTATGAACCAGACAAACACCTAGTTTTTATCCACAGAACATAGAACCTCTATCTGATTGCTTCTCCTAACCTCCTTTCCCACTGGTAGACATCTTGGGCCCTTGCTACAGATGCTTTGTTTGATCAAAAACTATGTGGGCATGTTCACAAATGTTTGGAACTACTTTATTCATAATAATCCCAAGCCAGAAATAACCCCAACATCCACCAAAAGAAGAATGGATAGATAAGCTGTAGTATATTCATACAATGGAATGAATACCTTAGGGATTAAAAGCAAGGAACTATTGATATAGACAATGGCATGAATAGACCTCAAAAACATCATGTTGAGCAAAAGAAGCTGGAACAATGAGCCATACTGTGTGATCCCTTTTGTTTGCATTCCATTTGTAGAAAGTTCGCTAAAAGGCAAAACTAATCTGTAGTGATAGAAATCAGAACTGTGGAGGTGGGGTAGATTGACCTCGAGAGGGCACCAGGGGCTTTCCGGGGTGGTGGAAATGTTCCACATCTTGATTGGGGTGGTAGTTACGGGCATATAGGCAATTGTCAAAACTCACCAATCTAGATGCTTCAGATCTGTGTATAAATTATATTTATTGCGTGTAAATTACCCTTCAATTTGAAATATTGGTAGTCTAAAAAAATGGCATATCTGGTCAAACTGTTACACAAATGACACAGATGTCTCTTCAACCAGGCCTTCTGTCACCCTGAGCTGAGCTGAGCTACAAGCCCCCTTTCTCTGGGCTCCAATTTGTACCATTGCATTTGCATGCCATATTGGAAGTTTGTCTCCCCATAAATCTGAGCTCCCCATAAATCTGGGCCTGGTATAGTGTCTGGCCCAGGAAGACACCCATCACATCCAAAGAGCCCCAGGAAATCTCACCTCACCGAATGGGTGCATAGAGGGAATAGGCACCAAGAATTCTCTGGAGAGACCAATTTCCATGTGGCTGAAAAGTAAGGTAAAGCCCTTCCTGTGGTTGGAGGCTTCCCCAGAGGCCGCGGGGCCTGGTGGGGTTTTCCATACTGGAGGACATTTAAAGGGACTGAGGACAACATTTAGGGTTGGCTGGCCCTGCAGAGTATGAAACCAGAGCATGTAGCCCCAGGAGGGATGGAGGGAGAAGTGGCAGTGAGGAGGACATCATTACTTAGTTCAGGAAAATGAAGAACAGCTGATCATTCTCCCCACTCCAAGAAAAAGAAAAAGGGAAGGAATAAGAAAAATTTAAAAGAATTTTGGGGCTGAAAGTGTATGCTTCCGTGTATACACTGGTCTCAACGAATTGCTTGGCATTGCTGAATAAATCAACGCATGGGGCGATTAACTACTCAAAGAGAAGACACTGAATAAGGATCTGGGTGAGGGGTCAAGTGTCAGGTGGGTTCCCACACAGCAGAACGTGGTGCCAAAAGTCCAACTTTGATGCGGTCAAGCAGGGTGGGACGCTGGTTTTGCAGAGACCTTGGAGGGAGTACAAAGGGCAGGGAGTCCATTCAGGATACCCAGAGTTTCTAAGCTGGAGGGGAAGCCAAATCAAGAAGAAACAGCAGGCAAGATACAAAGAAAAGGGCAGGGGCTCAGGCAGCTGGCAGCCCAGGTGAATTTCCCTGCAGGTGTTGGCGTGGCTGGTTCCGGCCTACCTGAGTATCTATCTGCCTTGGCCTCCCCTGGGTAGGGCGGTGCCAGGCTGGAGTGGAAAGGGGAGAGATTGCCAAGAACAGTCCCTTCCTTCATGTAACTTACAATCAGGTTGCAAAGACAAGACAAAGAAGATGACACATAAATCAATTCAAGAGAAGAATGGAAGAGAAGTCATAAAGGAATATGTGATTAATTGCTTAGTGATGGATATAGAATATAAGGGTGAGAATCATGTCAGTCCAGCCCAGGATCACAAGCTGGAATGTCTGCGGGGAGCAGACAGATCATATAAACAAGAGACTCAAGCCAATTTGTATTCTTTCATCACAAGCAGTGGACATGAAGATTAAGTAGCCAGGAAGACTCAGCACTTCCTCCAAAAAATATGCTGTCTCCCATTTTACTTAAATCCTCAGCTCGTCAGTCAATCTGTTTTCCCACTTTTGATGGAGATATGGATCCTGAGAAGCATCTTCCATAACAAGGAAAACAAGAGTGCATAGTGATGATGAAAGGAAACTGGTGCTCATTCTTGGTTTACAGAAGACAACAGAGAGGGACAGATATGGTGGCAACCAACCTGCAGGGGGCATGCCTTTCAGAAGTGGTGGCCCCTGGGGGACATCAGGCGATTTTGACAGTGTTGTCATTTATTCTCACTTTTCAAGAGATGCCTGAAATCCAGATTCTATGTGAAATCTCTGAATTTTTAAATAAGGACCTTAATTTTTTGTTGTTGTTGTTGTTGAAGAAGATTCGCTGACGTCTGTGGCCAATCTTCCTTCTCTTTTTTGTACATGGGCCACCGTCACAGCATGGCCACTGACAAATGAGTGGTGTATGTCTGTGCCCGGGAACTGAACCCAGGCATGCCAAACTTAACCACTGGCCACCAGGGCTGGCTCTCATTTTTGTCCTTATACTGTAAGCCAAATAGAACATATTATTGGCCACCAGCTTGAATTTCTTGAGGTCAAAAGATTCTCTTTGACCACTTTTGAGATGAGGAGGATCAATCTAATATAAGTTAAGAAATAAAGTCTCTACTCCAATCGCAGTATTGCCTTAGAAAGACAGAACATGTGATGTAACTGAGTCCCAGCCAGGCTGCCCTGGTTCTTGAAGTCCAGGTGCAGAAACGCAAACTCTACAGTGCTGTGTCCAGTGGAATTCCAGCACCTCCCCAGGATTCCCGGACTAGGAATGTCTCCTCTACATGTTCACTAAATATTAGACCAATGAATCAAGTCCAATGGGGAACTCAGTCTCCACAGCAACAACAGCAAATGAGTCATGCCAAGGATTCATAAATTCACTAGAATTTCTAGAACATTTCAAGGGATCTATTCATGTCATCTCCTCAACTGCTCTTACTCTCCCTCATTCCTAATATCCTTAGTTTCCCTACCACCTGCACAGCCTGAGGCCTTGCAAATCCTCACCACTGTTTATGCAGAACCCCTCAACTCTCTGTCAGTGGACCTGGTGCCAACCAACAAGCAGGTGTCGAAGGCACCTGGGACGTCTTCCTGAGGAGTTTTCTCAGGCAAATACAGTCCCCTTCTCAAGGGAAATTCTGGGGTCAGCTATTTCAATAGTAAAAATTTGCTAACTCATTACATAACTGGAACAGCTGCCATTGTTTACAGCTCTTATCGTTCTTTCTCATTTGCTGATCGGGGCCCCACAAGTCAGTGGTGGGGAAACCACAGTAAGAGCTGAGCCTGGGTCAGCAGGCAGATGTCTCGCGGGTGCAGGAGAGCCTGACAATGCCCCTTTGCTAAAGTGGTCCTTTACCTCCTCTGGTGCTGGATGTTAACAGTGGATATTGTACTGTCACATGGGCTCTGTGTCCACTGTCCTCTCAGGTGTATTAGTTTCCTAGGGCTGCCATAACAAATACGACAAACTAAGGAGATCAAAACACCAAAATGTATTCTCTCAAAGTCTAGAGGCTAGAAGTCTGAAATCTAGGTGTGGGCAAGGCCGTGCTCCTTCTAAAGGCTCTCAGGAGGAGCCTTCTTGCCTCTTCCAGTTCCTGGTGTTTGCCAGCCATCTTTGGTGCTCCTCTGCATAGGTAATCACTGTCTCCATCATCTCATGGCCTACTTCCTTCTGTCTTCTCTGTGTCTCCAAATCACCCTCTCTTTCTAAGGCCACCAGCCACTGAATTTAGGGCCCACCTTAATCTCGTATGACCTCATCTTAACTAAGTACACCTGCAAAGACCTTATTCCCAAACAAGATCACCTTCTGAGGTTCCAGGTGGACATACATTTTGGGGACACTGTTCAAACCAGTAGAGTGGGTATTTCTCTGCTTAGGTATATCTGCTAATAATAGCAAAGGCAAATTCAGAAGTCTCTGGAATCTGCATTTTAGTGAGGAACTCTTGTCTTCCGCATTAAAGGTGAGGAAGGACTGGTTTTCCTAAGTAGCTTTGAGAGCCCGAGTCCACTGACTTTCTGGGCATTAAGCCAGACATCACTTTAGGGCTTAACTTTGGCTTGAATTATTAGCTCCAAACATTTATTTGGAGAAAGAAATATCGCTTACTCAGCAACACTGAGACAACGTTGTTAGCCTCAATATTAGATTCAAATTTTACCAGGGCTTCCAAAGGAGTTCTGGAAGGCTGGAAGACAGCCCTTCATCTTTCTCCCATCAAAAACCCACAATGATTTTGCTTACATTTAATTTGTATTATAAACGCAGAAACAATGAAACAGTATATGCTAACCACATGTTACTAACCACATAGTCAATAAAATGATTTTAGTCTATGAGACTTACATTCCATGGACATATGTTATGACATGAAGTGAATCCTGACAAGAATGTTTACAAATAAGCACTTGCTAAAACTTCCTTCCTCAGGATGTGTAAACCAAAGTCCTTACTTAAATAGGAAAGATGGAGAGACATGACTTTAACACTTATAATCCTCAGTGCCTCCCCCCACTGCTTCTTTCCAGTCCTCCGAGGGTGACCCTGTTTTTCCTCGTCCCTTTCTTTTTATTTATTTATTTATTTTTGAGGAAGATTAGCCCTGAGCTAACTACTGCCAATCCTGCTGTTTTTGCTGAGGAAGACTGGCCTTGAGATAACGTCCATGCCCATCTTCCTCTACTTTGTATGTGGGACGCCTACCACAGCATGACTTGCCAAGCAGTGCCGTGTCCACACCCGGGATCCGAACTGGCGAACCCCGAGCCGCTGAGAAGCAGAATGCGTGCACTTAACCGCTGCACCCCCGGCTGGCCCCATCCTTGTCCCTTTCTTTACTCTCCCATTACTTCTCCCTTCCATTCCTACCTTTGTGAGAGTTTAAATAGATGAAGAGGACAGCTTGTCCGTCACCACACCTCAAATCTTCTGTGCCTCTCCTGAGAAAGTCCTTTCTAGGTATCAGGTTCCAGATGATGGACTGAGTGTAGGCTGTAACTTCCTTTCTTTCCCAATATATATGAAAAAATATTTTAAAATGTATTTATAAGCATACAATCATACACAAAAACAAGAAAAGGAAATCTCTGTAGACAAGAAGCAGAGCAGTACCCCTAAAAAACAGAGGCTGAAGGAAGCTCTCAACTGTAAATGTGGTCTGCCCCACAGTCCTACAGTGGACCAAGGCTAGAGCAAGACCAAACACATGGGGCAGGGGATGGAGCCTCCATCTCAGGTGGGGTCAGGAGGGCTGGGGCTCAGAACCATTTGGCCCACCTGGGGCTGGGCCTGGCAGCAAACTGCCCACATGTGTCTGGGGCTGGAGCGTGGCTTTCACATGCTGTGGGAACCCGTAGCCCTGTCCCAGCCAGAGCTCAGGCTAAGGCCACAATGAGATCATCTCACCAGATATCCTCACATCCCACATACATAAGGGGTTGGCCACCCAAGAAAGACCAGCAGCATGAAGGACAGGCAGCAAGCACCAATGAGGGCCAAATTACAACTGAGAAAGGTATTTTCATATCCTCAAGGAAGTAAAGGAGGAAATAGCTCCATCAAACAGGGATGGATGGTTGTAGTAAAAACAAATTAGAAAGTCTGGAAATGAGAAATAGTGTTATTGAAGCGAAACTCAATAGATGAATTGAATCTGGGTACAGTTCAAGAGTGAATTCATGTAATGGGAGATCAAACTGAAAGAATCTTTCAGAATGGATCACAGAGAAACAAAGAACAAGAAAATATGAAAGAAAAGTGACTGGTCATGGAGGATTAATCCAGAAGTTCCAATATTTGTCCACTGAGTTCTAGAGATGGAAAATAGAGAGGATCCTTGTAGGACAATGTTTGAAAAGTAATGCCTAAGGATTTTCTAGAAGAAAAGAGAGAAAGGCTTTAGTCCTTAGAAAAAATATCTCACCAAGTGTCAAGCAGAATAAATGTTTTTAAAAATTGACACTTGGATTCATTTTTGTAAAAGTTGAGAACATAGAAGTGTAAAGAGAAAAATCCTAAAATCCATGAAAACAAGAGAGAGACAGGGAAACAGGGACACACACACACACACACACACACGCACACACACACACATGGGTAGAAGCCTGATAGAATTTCTTCCAGACATACAAATTGAGAAAGCAAGCAATCCCTTTGTTTCAAAATTGATCTTTCAGGGAAATACTTTGCAATTTTAACGACCACCCCTTTAGTTTCTGGGTCTCAGGGGGAGCGAGAGGCCAGCAGCCAATTCTAACACTCCTTAGCCTCTGTGAAACACCTGTTTTTATATAAAAACCCCTGCTTCTCTTTTGCCAACAACCTCAGAAGACATCACATTTTCTTTCCTCGAGGTCTCAGTACTAAAGGACATCTTTTGAAATGGAGCAGATAAATAAATAAATATTCCTTGAATGGCTCTTTTATTAAAAAACAACATTTTCCCCTCAAATATTCTGAAGACCTTTCTCTTTCCTTTTCTACCTTCTGTAGATTCCTGCATACACTTCTGAAGAAAACTTTTCCCCAAATAATATTTTTGGAAAGTTTTCCTCTTATTTTTTCTTGCTGTTTTCTCTATAGCAGAGCGGCATGGGTTCTGAAACAAGTCAAGTAAATTTAAATTTAAGTAAAGATTTAAAATGTCATTTTTATTCTTTGATTCTATGACCTTTTTTTATGATCATTATATCTAAAATGATGTGTCCTTAAAGAAGCAGAGAAAGTTTTCAAAGAGTGAAACAGACCTTTAACACTGAGGGGCTTAAAGAAAGCTTCAAGGAAACAAGATTTGTATGGGACCACTAGGCATATTTGTTTCATCTTCTAATGATGGATCAAGCAAAAGAAAGGTTCAGAAATGTAATAGTGAAGCGAGTCAGCAAAAGCAATAACTTCCTAAGTCAAGCTGTCTAGAGAATCCTCTCCTTAGCCCTACCATACTTCTTGGGATCCACAAATGACATCCTGGATGAGTGATGGTGACCTTGGGGAAGTCACTCAGCGAGGAACCAGGATCCAACATCCACAGATACCCTCCGCAGTCAGCTCCCGCCCTCCATGCACTTATCCTAGCTGAAGCCCAGGTGGCATTAGTTGGATTCCACTCAGCTTGCAGACGTGATGGCTGAAAGGACTTATTCATGCCCAGAGCGGGTCCCTTCAGTGGGAAGAGAGCATCAGGATGGAAACTTGATAAGTGACAATTCTCAGTTGTCAGAATAAACAGATGGTTTTAGGTGCGGCTCCATGCCCACCCTACATTAGGTGCCCAATAAATACTTGTGGAATTAGTTATTTAATTAGTGAGCTTGGGCAAGTACCAC